CTCAAATGAGATACTACAAGTACAGCACTTTTCAATCCTTCAAGCACTATACAAATGCTAGTAATTATTGTTGTTGTTAATTATTTGAACTCCAAAAGAACTAAGACAGTAAGGTCTCCTACAATAAAATAGTCTGCTCCAGGGAGATAGGGGTCTTATCAGCTTAGGGTGCTTGAAAGAATTTCCCTAGTTTGGCCTGCTTGGCATCATTTCTTCAGCCATCCAAAGTTCTGGGAGTCATTCTAAGTATGCTACCAGAGCCCAGCATGTGCTTTTGGTGATTGGAAAATGTTGGCTGTCAGACTACGAAAGACTGCTGTTTCTGTAGTATACTTCAGCTTTTGATCTTCCCCTTAGAGGAGCCATGCTGTGAGAGGCTGCTCCCTTGATGAGAAAGAACTGTAGAATATTTTGTTTCTGTATCCCTAGTGCCTTGTACATCAGAGATGCCTAATCAATGATTGAAGAAGGTCATTATAAGGTGCTGTAGTTTGGAGCAATTTGATTCAAATTTAGGCTTTTTTTTGTGACCTTGGTCCAGTTAATTACCCTCTCTGGGCCACAGTACCCTCATCTGCAACATGATGGGCATGGTCCAAACGATATCTAAGGCTTCTTTTACTTTTCTTTTATTTTTATGTAGTATCTATATTTTTATTTCTTTAGAAAACTTTTATCATAAACCTAAACCATAAACATATAAAAAATAAGGAATAAAATCTCACATAAAATCCTTAACTGAACAAATGAGTAGATATCAAACAAACGAGAAATGCATCTTATTCAATGTCCCTTTCCAAGTTCATCTCAGTTTTTGCTACTTTTATCTTTTACTCTTGGGAAAAAATCATAGACTTTATCAAATGAGATAATGCATGTTAAGCATATTGGAAATCCTAAAGCATTTTAAATGTCAGCAATTAAGCTATAGATGATATATTTGTCATTGTTATTCTGCTGCTCTCACTTTTCATATAGGTCTGATATTATCATATTTATTTATTTAGTTTTACAGCAGCATAGTATTCTATCACATTAATATACCATAACTTGCTCAACAATTTGTAGTCAGTGGAATTATAGCTTGTTTACAGTTTCTTTGCTATTACAAATAAATATTCTATACTGATAGGTACTTTTTAAATGATATTTTAAAGGTAAAGTCCTAGTAATAGAATTACTGGGGTCAAAAGGTATATCATTTTTTTATATTGCCATATTTGTTCTCCAAAATCTTTACACTAGTCTACAGCCACATTAGCTATGTATCAAGAATTGAAGGCTTCTTTTAACTCTAAAATGTGATTTATAAATTATGAAGTTAACAACCTGCAACCTCATCATAAAAATACCATATGCTTGTATGGCAGGTAGGCATAAGTAGCTAGGTGGTACAGTGGATAGCGTGCTGGAACTGGAGTCAAAAAGACCTGAGTCCAAATCTGACCTCAGACACTTGCCCTCTGGCAAGTCACTTAATCTCTCTTGAGGGACCTCTGTTTCTTCATCTGTAAAATGGGCATAATAATATAACCGAACTTTTGAGAATATTGTGAAGATAAAATGAGACAATATTTATAAGTGCTTTGCACACCTTAAACTACTACATACCTGCTAATTAGCTATTATAAACTAATCCCATTGTAATTGGGATCTTTCAGAACTTTTATTGAGGGTCATGAAAGTTTTCACCACTAAAGTAGCAAAAGCTCATGCCAGTGAGTATAGGAAACAATCATCTACCTTCCTGAGTCCGAAGCTAGGACCGGAAGACCTCTCAAACATTCTGCCCTCATCTCTACCTGAATTAGGTTGCAATTTATCTAGTAGGAAATTTATTTTTATGGCCAGTTCCAATATAATGCTTGTTTTTTATTTATTTATTTTTATTTATTTTTAGGCAATTGGGGTTAAGTGACTTGCCTAGAGTCACACAGCTAGTAAGTGTCAAGTGTTTGGTCTGAGGCCAGATTTGAACTCACGTCCTTCTGACTTCAGGGGTGGTGCTCTATTCACTGCACCACCTAGCTTCCCCTGTAATGCTTGTTTTGACCATATACATTTGCTTTGATACAATTGATATAGTAGGGAACAATTTGAGTATAACAAGAATTTTGAGTTTGCTCAATATTTGATTTTTGTCCTTGAAAAACAGTGAGAATGCAGAAAATGGTACCATTTCATAGTAACCCACAGGCTGCAACCCTTCTGAACCCACTTCCACAAGCAAACTTCAGTTTTTCTTTATCAAGATAAAGTGCCCTATCTTTTTGTTCAGTAGGAGCTGTGGGCAGGGGAGGGCTGGTCCAGTCTGAGTCCTACCTTCCCACCTTCAGCCATGGCCCTGCTTCCTGGAGATGCAGCCCATGTAGACAGGCCTCTCACTCCATGAGAACCTGGCCACAGGGTGAGCAGAGCCCTAGGATGCTGTCACTCATTTACGTATTTTGTAACCTTTAACGTGTATAAATCTCTGCTACTATTTTATTAGGTTCCCATCTTTTTTTTCATTTCCCATCTTTTTATGTGTCACTGATGAAGATTTTGAGTGTTGTGCCCCAATTCCATTTTCTCCATAAGTCCCATGGTTTTTATTTTAAGGTTTTACGTAGCACAGTGATTTTTAGAAGTGCACATGTTGTGTTAAAGTATAACTAACTGTACTTATGTTGGCATATTGGAACATTTTGCTTAGCCTGAATAAAATATAGACTCCTTGAAGGCAGGGATTGCTTTATTCTGGTAATTTTAATCTCGGCCCTAAGCATACTCACTGGCATAGAGAGGAGATTAGTACTAATAATGAATAATAATAATAGTAGCAATAATGATAATGATAATAATAGCATCTAGCATTTATATAGTGCTTTAAGATTTATAAAGCACCTTACATATGTTAACTCATTTGATCCTGACAAGAACTGTGGGAGGTAGGTGATTTTATTACCCCTATTTTACAGGTGAGGAAACCAAGGCACAGTAAGCTTAAGTGATTTGTTCAGGGTCGCACAGATAAAGAGTTTCTAAGATAGGATTTGAACTCAGGTTTTCCTGATTCCAAGTCCTGAGCTTTTTCCACTGAGCCACTTAACTGCCTATTTAATAAACACTTGATAAATGAATCAAAGATACTTAGTAAATGGTTATTGAATGAGTGAAAAATGAATTAACAAATGGAAGTAAATGATTTTCATTCTAAGCCAGGTTTAGTTATGGACAAAATTGGACTGCTTGAGAGAAAAAAAAAAAACCAACCTTCAGTTTCAGCCTCAGCCAAGTTAGAAATGGCCGTCTCTGAAGCAGTTTAGTATCACATACAGCATCATAGAATTGAGTAGTGCTATGAAGAAAGCAAACAGTTCTAATTCATAGCAGCATTATGTGGTACAGTCATTAATTGGAGGCATCTGGTGCTAAAGGCTAAAATGTATGCATGAGGAGCAGCAAAATGTGCAATGCAGTAGAAGAGATTTGCCATGAAAAGGACTTGAGTTTGAATCCTGTCTCTTTCACTTACTAGCTATGGGACCTTGTGTAAGCCACTTAATCTCTTTGGGCCTCCATTTCCTCATTGGAATGTAATTCATCTTTTGGAGCTTGGCCAAAATGGATTGGTATAGAGCAAGCAGAGATGTGTGGGTGGAGCAACACATGAGGCAGAAGACCTTCCTAGCCTCTCTAAACTCTTCTAAGACTTCAGACTTTACCCTGGGGCAAACTCCTCAGATTTCATCCCTCCTCCCCATCCTCCACCAACCAACCATGGTATTTCATAGAGTAGCTATTTCTTTAGTACCTTGCTTATAGTTTACTTTTTTAATTGTTAGAGACATAGGCAATTGGGTGCAAGAAGAAGCTTCAAGGAGTATGGCCTTCTGGCAGCAGAGAAGTAAGCCACTCATAAGATGTTTTTTGACTCACTATAGATTCAAGGGAAAACTAGCCCTTGGGGTCAAAGTTGAGCTGCTGAGAGGAGGGGACATAGGAATCCCAGCTAAGTAACCCTCCCAGCAGAGATATATGATGGTTGAGTGGGTAGGGGATGGAGGGGTGGGCTGTTCAATGTGAGGACCCTGTTATTAAGATTAAGTCCATCAGGACTCTATGGTTTGGGAGATGTGAATTACTGTTGGTCCCATGTGTTGCCTACCTGTGTTCTTTACTTCTAGAACCTACGTTTCCCACTGTCGCTGTGTACTTTAGAGAGAATGTGCGGCCCCAGGAGGGGAATGCTGTGTAGCTATTGTATTTACCATGTCATCTTAGTGAATGACTTTGTTTTAAGAAAACCGTGGCTATTGTTTTTGTTCAGTCATGTCTGACTCTTTATGACCCCACTGGAGGTTTTCTTGGCAAAGATATTGGAGTGGTTCACCATTTCTTTCTCCAGCTTCTTTTATAAATGAGGAAACTGAGGCAAACAGGGTTAAGTGGCTTGCTAAGGGTCACGCAGCTAGTAAGTGTCAGAGGCTGTATTTGAATTCAGGTCTTTCTGATTCTAGGCCTAGAACTCTATCCACTGTGTCACCTAGCTTCCCCTAAGCTGCGGCTATTGCTTGACTGTTCAAAGTATGTATACTGGCAGAAGCTTATGAGACATTGTTTTATGAGCGTGTCCTCAAAGAAAGTCCTTTGAATATAAGTGTAATCACCTCGCTATCAACCCATTGTAAAACCTGTGAATACCAGATTGGTAAAAGCCCAGAGGGAGTGCCATATGTGAAATTAGAGGGTTGGTTGAATTTCTTAATCTTAATGCCCTTCTACCTCTCAATTTATAATCCTGTGATCCTAAAATTCTATGATCTATGTGAACTCAAGATTCAGGCACCCTCCAAAGCCAAGAAGAATTCACATCTTCGTCCCTATTACTTGAGCAAGACCAAATGATTTGAAATACACTGTTGATATAATCAGGTGCTGTCTGTGCCATATGGCATTTCCCTGTTGATTTCATTTGGAAGACAATCTTGCATATTGTGGCATCACCATTTGTTTACCTGTAAGATCTTCAGTGGGCCAGGAGCCAAGTTGGCATGCCTTGCATGTGTATTCATCAAAAACAAACTCATTCTCTTTGCATGGAGTACAGGTCCAACAGCAGCTGACTTCTCCCTTTCGGATCACCTAAAATTAATATTTAATAGCATAATTAGATTTACTCAACTGATAAGTGTGCCTATGAATATACTTTAAAACACCTAAAGACATTGGAAGCCCATTGGCATGGCATTTCCTTGAACATTGCACAACACAAACCCCCTTCAATCAACCAATCAACAAACATTTAGTTAGGACATACTCTGTGCTTAGCACTGGGGATAGAAATGAAATAGTACCTTTCTTAAGGATCTTACCTCCTATTAGGGAAGACAGCATTCACATTTTGAAGTATGTGCAGAATAAACACAGACTAAATATGAGGTAGTGTCCAAGGAGTAGTTCTCCTCAGCAAATAGGGGATTAGGGACGTTTTCATGTAGAAGGTGGTGCTTAAGCTGAGTCTTGGAGGAAGTAAGGGACTCTATGAGGCAGAGTTAAGGAGAAAGTTCATTCCAGGATTGAAGAAAGACCAATGAAAAGGCATGAAGATAGGAGACAGGAGTGTTGTGTGTGAGGAACAGAGAGAAGGCTACTGAGACTTGATAGGAGAGGACAGGAAGGGTAGATTGTAAAGTTGGCTTGGGGACCAGTTGAACAGGGCTTTAAAAGTCAAATAGAGGAGTTTGTATTGTATTCCAGAGAAAATATGGAACCCCTGGAGTTTATTGAATAGGGGAATGATGTAGCCATCTTTGCACTTTGGAAAAAAAGAATAACTTTGGCAACTATGGGGAGGAAGAATAGAATGAGAAGAGACTTGGAGTAGGGAGATCAATTGGGAAGATATTGAAATAATCCAGGTGAGAAATGGGGAAAACCTGATCTAAAATGGTGGCTCTGAGAGGAGTGAGAAGGGGCTAGGTGTTGTCAGGGTAAAAATGGCAAAATTTGTCCACTATTTAGATATGTGGGCACAGTGAGGAGTCAAGGATGACACTGAGGTTACAAACCTAGGTGACTGGAAGGAGGGTGGTGCTCTCAGCAGAAACAGGTTTGTGAGGAAAGACAGATAATGAGTTTTATTTAGATCAGGTTAGTTTGGGATATCTGCAGGACACCTAGTTTGAAACGTCCAATAGGCACAGCTGGTGATACAGGACTGGCACACAGGCGACTGATACCTACAGATTTGTAGAAAGCCTCCATGAGTTGTTATGGCCAAAACATTCATCGTCTAGTGGTCATCCTTCTGGGGATGAACTCTCTGAGTTTCCTTGAAACCAGTTATACTGGTCCCTGGACAATAATCATACTGTTCTTTGTCATGCTATAAACACCTTATAGCTTGGTGGACCCTGCCAGAGTTTTCAAATCACATAGCTTTCAAGGACTGAAGGGTGCTCTCTATACTAGGATGAAGCCTTGGAATAGGACTTTGTGGAGAGTGTATGCTAGCTAATCTATCTATATACAAATGTGTTGATAATTTTTGATTAAGCACTCTGTGGATTATCTGTGGCACTTTTTATCTCTTTTATTTAGTAGGCCCCCTCATGTTAATAAAAAGAATTCTAGGCTAGGATTTCCTAACCTGGAGTCTGTGAATTTATTTTTAAAAAGTAGTTTAATAACTGTATTTCAATTTAGTTGATTTCTTTTGCAATTGTGTGTTCTATTTTATGCATTAAAACCAAACAAACATTATTCTGAGGATTCCATAGGTTTCCTGATCTTCAACATCTTTTTCATTCTCAAGTGGTATACATAACACATTTTAAGAAAATCATGAATAAGACTGGTAAAAAAATACAGCACTAAATCAAGAACATTTGATTTGCATAAGTGATTTGCATAAGTATTTAGATTTCCTACCACCAACACAGTGTCTATGCTAGGGAATTGCCTGAAGTAAACAGAAGCTAAGTTCATTGTCCAACTAATGAGTGTCAGAGGAAGGATTTGAACCCCAGTCTTCTTCATTTTAAGACCAGTACCTTACTGCTTTTGTGCTTTCAAAAAGCCTTATCTAAAAGTCTCAGGTCCAAAAGTAAATGACTGATTGGATCATTCATTATTTTGGGTTATTAAACTCTAGGCTTCCCCTTCCCCCTTCTTTTTTTGTTGTATAATGAAGAGGTACATTTAGTTTACTTTCACTCTTCCTGGAGATATAGCCTAGCACAGTGGATAGAAACCTAGCCTTATAGCTAGGAAGAGCTTGAATTTCACCTGGGACACATATTGAGTAATCCTGAGCAGACTGCTTAAACTGTCAGTGTCCTAAGTATATTGCTAAAACTATAAGCTGCAGAGATAGTGCCAATCTACACTAGTAGAGAGAGTTTCTTTATCTAGGAGGTCTTTATATTAATGAAATTACAAATTCAGTCCTTTTCTTGTCCTCAAGAGAGTTTTATTCAGAAAGCTCATTCTGCTTATGGCAAGAATGGACCCAAATGAACCAGTCCATCATTTAAAAATATCCATCACTCTACAGGGATTAGGAAGCTAGGATTTTGACATTGGGTAACAAAATTAGAGGTTGTAAGAATACCCTAATGGGAAGTCAGACGTGCCATTCTGGGGTACATTTCCTCCTCATAAATGGCTGTTCTTCTAGACACTTGCCCATTCTTTTCCCATCCTTTCCTATTTCTTCAGCAGCACCATAGAACCTTCTCGTGTCCTGGGTTAGACTTCTCTTAAGTTATATTCTAGGTGAGGTATGTCCTTCCCTGATCTTTCCCCAAGGACAAATATTCATAGTTATGGTCCTGTTACTATTGGAAAGACAGAACCCTTGTTTAGGAATTTCATTCTATAAATATCTTTGTCTCTGTTTTTTTTTTTTCATGGAAAATGAGTGTGTGTGTGTGTGTGTGTGTGTGTGTATGTGCAATGCAGTTAATCACTTAAACCTCTCTTTCCCAGTCATCAATCATTGCTTCACTTGGTGAGAAGGGCTGTCAAAAGCCAGATCAGCCTTCTGGGCCTGTAATTAATTTATCTCTTCCATTTTTAAAGCAGCCAAAATAATTAAAATAATTTGACAACTGAATCAGAGCTATATATGTCTATCTACATATATGTATACACACATACACACACTGATATTTTGAGGCTATTGATATGTATTCAAATAAATGGAAAGGAGACTGAAGTAAAAACAAAATTATCTTGAAATTCTTATCACAGTTTTTATATGCATTATAACCACATGGACAAAATATATGGAATAATTACATAATATGTGTAACACGTTATATGCACATATCTAATATAGTAAGTGTATTATTAGCCAAAGCAATATGCAATGATCATGATAAAATTAAAATCTGTTGTCTTTTCTCCAAACTTGCTGAGGCTCCATGAGCTTGGCTTTGTGTACATAAGGAATAAATGAGTTCCAAGATTCCATCCAGCTCTGATACTTTATGACTGCAGAATAGAGATAATCATTCAAATGAGTTAGACCAAACTTTTCCTGGGGACAGAAGGTGACTTTTGGGCATCCAAAGTATCCAAAGGTAGTCACTGCCTTATTCGTTCTCTCCATTTGCATGTAAAACCAGAGCCCAACACTGGTTTTATTTTATATTGGTCTCAAGGTCCTCCTTCCCTACTCCACTGCTATTTTCTCACCACATGCCATTACCTATTTAGTGGTTAAGCTGATAAAATGTAGGAGTTTTGTTTCCAGGAAAACTTCAGTAAAATTCAGTGGTGAGAGTACTGGACGATTATCACTTCCAAAAAGAAAAACAGTATTTTAGCCATTACAGCCACTGAAGCAACATGAATGGTGATATTTCCAATAATGAGGGGTTCCTTCCCCCAGAGTCTCAGCATGCCTAGAAAACAAAGGCAGCCACTTCTTTTCCTGGAAATACATTGGCCCCCTACCGTTCAATTTGCATTGGCTCATAGACATGAGCAGAAAAAAATGATCAAAATCAGTTCATACCCTTTCTTAGGAACAATAGGGATTCTACAGTCTATTTTTGAATTGATGGTCACAACATAATATGTTCTTTTCTCATCCTTCAGAATGGATTTGTTTCACATATCCAAAAATATACATGTATACATATATGTACATATACACACATGTATCTATATATCTATATCTATCTATATCTATATACCCATTTTTTCCCCTGTTACATCATGTTGCACACTCATGTTAAGAGGTTGTGCTAAGTCCTTTTTGTAGGCATTCCCATTCTTTTCAGGGCAGCCAGTCCATCTGCTACCTATTCTATCCTGGCAGCAGTGAGGACAGAAGATATTTTTCTTACAGCAGGATTTCAGTTAAGGCCCTAACTCTTTTTAAGCAAATGTGATCAATTATAATTTAAAGTAAATGATGGAGAAATGTGGTTTAATTCAGGTTTTTTTTTTTTAATATGGGACTGGTAATCTTAAAAACATTTTTATGATTATATGTATAATTGGTTTACTTTGTAATCCTATGCATTTTATTGTACGTGTTTAAAATCATTATTCCAAGAAGGGGTCCATTGATTTCAACAAATTGTTGAAAGGGACCATGATAAAAAAGATGAAAACCTTCTAGTTTAGATGAATTACTAATCAAATAATAATAATTCTTAAAAGACAATGTCAGTTTCTTTGTAATTTGATAAGAAGGAAAATACATACATAGCAAGACTGAGTGAATTTGCTCTCAGAAAATAAAGGCCTTTATAAGGCCAAACAACTGGTCGATAGACCCCTCTGTTCTCCCTAACCTAACTAACCTACTCATCATTGCACAAACGTTTGATTCACTTTGGTCATCACCATGTTTTTGCTCCTCCTGTTCCCTCCACCTGGACTTCCTTCCCTTTAGTCTTTGACTTTCAAGAGTCTTACCTCTCCTTAAAAGTTTAGCCCAAATGCTACCTCCTACCTGAAATGCTCCTTCATCCCTCTCAGCTGGAAGTATCTTTTGGGAACTCCCATAGCATTTTGTATGCATCTTATGATCTTATGTGGCATTATGATGATTATTTTTTTTTAATATCCTCTTGCTAGGCAATAAACTCTTTAGTGGAAAATACAATATCTCCTGTTTTTTTTCTTTTTTCCTTTGTTTTTCTGACAGTTTCTAATCTTGTTGAAATATCTCAATTAGTAGTGATCTGATCACAGTATGAGAACTCTGTGCTCCGAGGCAATTTGCCACGTATCTTATAGCCTATGACTTATAGGATCAGAGGGTTGCTTGAAATTCAGAAATGATGTGACTTGCCCTACCCATGGTCACACAGTTAGATAGAGATTGTCAAATGTAGAATTTGAAACTAAGTCTTCCTGACTCCAGGGCCAGCATTTTTTCCATTGTACTGCATTGCTTATTGTAAAAGAAGTCTAAGTTCATTGAAAACATGATTGATCATAGTTTCTAAATAAGAATAATTTATTCTCAGGCAAAGGTTTTCTCACAGTGGTTCACTGGAGTTGATCAGAAATAGTAACATTCTCCTGTTTGGCAGTGAGGTGGCAGAGTGGATAAAGCATTGGACCTGAAGTCAGGAAAGCCTGAGTTCAAATTCAGCCTCAAACATTTACTTTGCTTGTTAGACCCTATAATTTAATTTAACCTCTATTTGCCTCAGTTTTCTCTTCTATAAAATAGGGATAATAATAGCATCTACTTCTCAGGATTGTTGTAAGAATAAAATAAGATATTTGTAAAGCACATTGCAAACTTTATTATATAAATTCTAGCTATTATCACTATTATTCAGTCAGCCAACAACATTATTAAAAGAAAGGACAGAAAGAAAGAAGGAAGGAAAGAAAGAAAGACTGAAGAAAGGAAGGAAAAAAAGGAAGGAAGGAAGGAAGGCAGGGAGGGAAGAGGGAGAAGTGGGTGGAGGGAGAAGAGTATATTTTTTGTAGAATGTGACACTAGTCAATGTCGACAATTTAAAAAGGAATAAAAAGAAATACTCCTGCCTTCATATACCCTATAACCTCATAAGAAAATTGAAAATTATAATAAAAATGAATAGATGTAAGGAAGTTAGATAATTCAATTGCAAATTATAGCACTTGTAACACTATTTACCTTGATCTGGCCTTTCTCACATGGGTCACTGCACACCGACCTAATGATGGCACTTTTCTTGGGCCACACTTCGTCATCATCCATTTTCAATTCACCATTGTCCCAGCTGCCCACATTGATGTAATCGAAATAGTTGTTTCCCATTTCCTTGAAATTCATGATTTCATACCTTTGGAAAAAGAAAGTGATTATTCAACTGGGAGATAGCCACAAGCAACAATCTTACTAGTTCATCAGCTATCACATCTGTGATTTTGGAACTGGCTACACTTCATATAACAGTCTGTAGATGGTTGGGCAAGCTTTGACTTCTGCATATCACATATGACGTATCTTATTACTCTGTGATGAATTTCAGTTCATACCTGAAACTGAAGACATAACAGTAGCATCATGTAGAGAAAAGATCATGGTTTCAAATTACAGGCATTCTGCCTACTACCTATGAAAATTTAGATAAATCATCCTCTATCCTTCATCCATTGATCCCCATTTTCCTCTGAGGTTCCATGAACTTAAAAATTCTACGAAATGAAGATAGTGTTAATATCCTCGTGTATGATTGGTATTGTAGAGGAAATGTGGTATAGTGGGGGGAAAAAAAGCAAAATACAAAACATTAGTCTGTGAGTTATTTCATCTGCCATAATCTCCATTTTGCTTATATTCCATTGATATTATAAGGCTCCTAGACGAAAATGGATGTGAAAGCTCTTTGAAAATTGTCATGTGTGCTATTAGGTCAGGGTGCTTCATCTGGAACTTTATTAAAGAAGAAGACAAATGCATTTCTATTTTAAAATGTTCTATAATTCATCTCTTTCATTATTTCAGACTAGTCTTGAAGTACACAAAAGAAAAGTTATAATTATTCTTATTATAGAGAAGAAAACCAGCATTGCTTGATAGAGGGTGATTTGGATATCTTCCCAAATTGTCTAAATAAGTATCATTAGGGTTCTTGCAGGTTGGAAATGCTTTTCATTTTCTTGTTTCATTTTCCATATAGGCACAAATACAATAAATTTTTTTAATCTGAATGCTACGAAAAAGGAGAGGTAGTGTTGTATGATTGAAAGAACACAGGCTCTGTAGTCATAACAGCTTTTGTCACTTATATATGTGTGACTTTGTGAGAGTAACTTAACTATGCATCAATTTCCTCAACTAAAATTGAATGCAATGAAATAGATGTCCTCTAATTTCTCTTTAGGATCTAAAGCAATGCTCTTACGGATTTGTGCAGATGTCTACAGGGTCTTTGATGAAGTTTATCTTTCTTAAAAGGGGGAATAAATATAAGGATGAAGAAGTACTCTTTGGAAAATTACAGCTACATTAAAAGGGACATCAATAAAGAATTCTATGTTCATTAAAATATGTTAAAGTTTTTCTCAATTATTTTATTTGATAGCATACGCATTATTCTATTCTGCATCTTTAAATTAGTGTAGTTGTTAACTATGAACCTTTAGGGTATAAAAATTTTTATTACTACAATATGGTAGATTTGTCTACAGAATATTAATAATTCACATTTATATAATGCTTTAAAGTCTAAAGCTTTGATTTAAAAATTAAAGCTTAGGTAAGAAATAGCTCATTACCAATATGATAGAGACTAACAAGGCAGCATATGAAATTAAAAGAGGACTAGACTTGACATGTGTGGACCAGAGTTCAAATACTACCTCTGACACTGGTTGTGTGATCTTAGCCAAGTCATTTAACCTCTTTGGGTCTTAGTTTACTGATTTGTAAAATCAGGGGGTTTGGACTAGATGATCTCTAAGGTCCCTTGTGGCTCTAATTCTCTGATGCTGTAATCTATTATTTTACCACAATATTCCAGAAAACAAAGAAAAAGACAAATTTTTCCTTAGTCTGGTGTATCAGAGCAAATGACACCCAAGAGGCTGTCTAGCTCTACAATTCTATAATGAGATTTCAAATTCAGGAATGCCAGCTACATGAGTCTACAAGAGAACTATGAATGCAGTGCATGTATCATCCCATTGTCTTATGATGTGGGTAACATTTTAGGGGAGGAATGCCTTGCATATATTTCATATATTCTTATTTATGAACATACTGTCTTCTCTAGGAACATATGAACTCCTTGAGAGTATGGAGTGTTTCATTTTTCTATTTGTATTGCACATGCCTGACACAGTGCCTGGTACATAACACATGCTGGATAAATGCTTTCTTACTGACAGACTGACTGACTGGTATATTACTATGTGTATCCTACTGTGCTTTTCTTTCTACCTCAAGGCTCTTTCCTCTTCCAAATCTCTTTTTTCCACCTTTATCTTCTTTGACTTCCTTCATTGACTCAATCATAATGTTTTAAAAGTTCTTAAAAATCTTTGGAACCCAAAGTTTAAAAATAAAAATTACAAAAAATATATTTTCCACATGCAATTGGAAAATAAGATATACAGGAAATGGAGTATGTCAGACATCTATCCTGCCCTATAGGAAAATTGAAGGGGAAGGGGATAAGAGAAAGGAGGGGAGAGATAGAAGGGAGGGAAGATTAGGAGAAGGGGTATTCAGAATGCATGCCATCTTGGGGTGGGGGGAGGGATGAGATGGGGAGAAAATTTGAAACTCAAAATCTTGTGGAACTGAATTTTGAAAGCTAAAAATAAAAAAACAAACAAATAAATATATAAATAACAAGAAAAAAAGTTCTTAAAAATCCAAGGATGGTTATTATAGCAAGGATGTGTAGTCATTAGGGTTATGTAATAGGGATAATCTGCTATAAGCAGGCTAGTCCTCAGTTCATGGTCAGTCATATTACATTTTACAATCTCAAAGACACCATTAATGGAGAATACCATTTTTAAATGAATATAAAATATATTTATAACAAATAAAATTAATATTTATGAGGTTTTCTGGTTTATTTTCATAAAGAAGAAGAATATTATAGTGGATTGAATGCTAGATATGAAATGGAGAAGACCTATACTCTAATCTTACCTATGGCATTTAACAATGGAAGGATAAGGCTCATCAAGTGATACAAAATGTCTTATTTTGAAATTAAAAAAAAATTGCAGTCTCTGTTATCTTTACGGATAATATTTTTTTACTTTGTCCACTGGCAGAGCTTGGTCCTTCTAGCTAGTCTTAATTCCAGTCCTTCTAATAACTGTGACGTTAGACCAGTTACTTAATTTCTCTTTGTCTCAAAAAAAGTACATAGTTATCATCATCCACAATTGTAATCTCGTTGGTGAAGAGTTCCCACACCATGAGTTCTACACACTAACAAACATAGCTCTTCTCATTATTAAAGGAGAATAAGCTAGGAGATTGTTTTCTCTTCCCAAAACCTGTAATATTAGACAATGAATTACGTTTTTGCTTTTCAGGACTTTGGCAAAAGTCAAAGATGCATTTCCACAAGGTACAATTTGTTCTTTGATGAGTGCTTTACACTTGTTGAAGACTAATTACTATGATTCTCCCACCTTTCTCTTTCTTTACCTTTTTCTATGTCTTTCTCTTTTTCAGAATATGTGTATGGTCATGTATGCACACACATGTTCTATGTTTTCTTCTCTGTGTTTGGGTGTCTATAATTTTGTGTGTCCGGAACTAGGTTGTATAATAGGCCTTTTAGGCATTTACTTGTGGGTCCCAAAGTTTAGTGTCTGATGAGAGTCTCTCAGGATAATGAAGTGGAGAAATCGAAATGATATTAATTTGTTTACATGCTGAAGCCAGTCTCTCAATAAGTTGACAAGCTTACATTGGTATTATTAGGAGCAGAAAAACCATAAATAAAGATACCTCCTTAAAAATATTGTACTTATGAGGGTTTTGACTACAACCACACCCAGATGGGCACAATTCTGGAAATCAATGTGGAATTATTCTAAGAAGATATCCATACCATTTGACCCAAAGATCCCACTCCTAGGCAGGGCAAAACTTGTCAATTTAAGCAAATAAAAATTATCCATTTCATCATTTGTGATAGACTCCATTCTTTGCTTGTTTAGCATTCTCTCCCTAGCCATAATGATGAAAAAGTACATGATCTGGTTCACTTCTTAAAAACAGAGTGAATTTTAATATGCTTTAATCCACTCCCTAGGATTTATCTGCTAGCTCATAGAAGGGTTGTAATCTGTGCTGCTAAGCAGTTTTTTTTCACCTTGGAACTTCCCCCACTCTCATCCTTCTCATATTTGCACAAAGTTGCTCAACAATAGAATGGTATCTTGTGAAAGTGTGAGTTCCATGCCACTGAGAATATTTAAGCAGAGGCTGGGTCACCACTTGCCAATCTATAGAGCCATTTTCAATTGTAAAATATGAGTTTCATAATCTCTCTCTCTCTCTCTCTCTCTCTCTCTCTCTCTCTCTCTCTCTCATACACATCCCTCTCTCAACCTTTTCCTTTCTGCACATGCACACAATGGAGAGAGAAAGAGAGAGAGAGAAAGAGAGAGAGAGAGAGAGAGAGAGAGAGAGAGAGAGAGAGAGAGAGAGAAGTGAGAGAGAGAGAGAGTGAGAGAGAGAGAGATAGATGTAGAAGTCTATCTTGGCAAGTGTTTAGGAATATCCTGAGTCCCCAGTAGCTGACCTATAATCATATATAATTTGATATTTCTCAGGATCCTCTGTGTAAATGATGAAAGTTGAAAAGTATAGGAGAAATAGTAATTTAGTCCTCAACCAAGGTGACAGTGCATCATCTGAAAAATAATGCAATAAAAATATGCCTTCTAATGCATGGCAGGAAGACTAAACAGTGTGTCACTACTTTAGCCCTATCTTTGGGATTGTAAGAAATGTGATTCCTTCTGTGCTCAGAATAGCTCCAAATCCAAAGAAGAGAAATAAGGGTTTTGAACAAAATACAAAATGCTTGCCAAGAAATGATAGAACCAGCTCAACTCTTCATGACTACATGGACTCAGATCTAGGCTTGGATAACTGAAATATATACATGATCCTCAAGCCACATCTTTGGCAATTCATTTTAACCTTTTTCTCAAAAATGATGAAAGTGATGTTGGTTTTCCTCCCTCCCTTGAACACTTCCTAATGGGGAGTGATAACAAGGGCAGGGAGGGTAGGAAGAACAAGAGGAAGAAGGGAAGGGAATAGGTATTTGTATAGTGCCTACTATATGCAGACAATGTGCTAAGTACTTTTACAAATATTATTTTATTTGATCCCCACTACAACCTTGTAAGGTAGGTACTATTATTATTTCTATTTTATAGCTGAAGACATTGAGAAAAATAGATGTTAACTAAATTGCCCAGGGACACCCAACTAAGTGTCTGAGGCCGGATTTTATCTTAAGTCTTTCTGACTCTGTGCCACCAGTTGCCTCTAGGAAATAAGGAGCCTAAGGGCTTCCCAAACTATATCCCTCATATAATCACCCTGTAACTGTCATTAAAGCTCCTTCATATATGGAATAACTGCAATGATACCTTCCTGGAGAGTCACCATTCTCATCGAAAAGGATTGTATCTCCAGAAACGCCGGTGAAATTTGTTTTCATCAGAGAATCAAGAAGTTTTCGACCATCAATTGGTTTCATGGCATCACAGAGCCCAGCATATCCTGGGCAGAGTGCTGTCTGCATGTTGTGAAGACCATATGCCATGGAATATATCGCATTGATTACAAACCCCATTTTGGAATCTTGGACATACTGTGTAGTCAGAGTCAGGGAACCTGTTAGAGAAGGAAAAAAAAACAGAAAGTTTGAAAGCAACTTTCAAAACTGATTACAGATCACCAATTATGATGCCATCATAGATATTTTCTCCAACTAAATTCCTCCCTTGATGCCTTATTATGCAATGTACGTGATGGTCTGAAACTATGTGACAAGAAAGAACAGGCTCTAGAAAGTCCCACCAATCTGGAGACATTCAGTATTAGTGTGGTGATGATGGTTTGTATGTTGCTTGAAGACTAATCTATCTAAATTTAGAAAGACTCATAAACAAAGGGTTGGGGTTGTGATCTGTTATGGTGGAGGGACTAATCATACTGTTGAAATCACAGATACCTGAAATACTGAAGTAGTAACAAGATTAGTACATTAGTGGAAGAACTACCCATTCCAATAGACCTGTGACACAGAAGTCAGACTCCAGGGAACTTGGCCAACTGCTCCAACTATCTCTTCAGAGCTGTGAGTTTGGGCAGTCTAAATAGACAACACTGGTTGAGTGAATATTGTTAGATCTTGTCCTTACATCCAAAGGTTTCAAAGATATTGTCATATTTAGATCTGTTTATCCCCATTCTCCTTTAAGGGGCTAATCAATAAAATGTTCAACATACCTTAAAAAAAAGAAGTTAATGACTAATCAGTCAAAAATATTTATTAAACACATGCTGTATGCAGAGGACTGTGCTATGTGAAAGAGGAGAAGTAAGGTTTAGACAGGAGCTTGTAGTCTTTGCCATTGTGGGTCTTACAGTCAAGATCAGGAATAAGAAATACATCAATAATATTATAGAATATAAATATATAATACCACATAAGATAAAAAGAAGGATTCAACTGATCAAGTGTTCAAGTGCCACATCTCTCTAGGCTGTACCTTTATAACCTTCATTCATAGTATGAGATTAAAAAAACTTTATATCTATATTTACATATATTTATAGACACATATGCACACAAGCATGTGTACATATATGCACACATATACTTACATGCATATGTATTTCATTTGTGCCTAAGTCTTTGTGACCTCATTTTGGGTTTTCTTGGCAAGGTGCTGGAGTGGTTTACTATTTCCTTCTCCAGCTCATTTTACAGATGAGGAAAATGAGGCAAACAGGGTTAAGCAATTTTCCCAGAGTCACACAGCTGGTAAATGTCTGTGGCTGGATCTAAACTCAGGAAGATGAGTCTTCCTGACTCCAGGGTGAGTGCTCTATCCACTGTGCCAGATAGCTGCCCTAAACTTTATGTATATACGTATGTATATGTATGCATGTGTGTATGTGCATACATATACAAATATACAAACAGATGTGTATGTATTAATATACACATATATAAATATATGAGCATATATGTTTACATATACACATATACATATATATAAAGTGTATATGTATTTATACATCCACATATACATATACATAAAGTATACATAAAGACTCATCTTCCTGACTTCAAATCTGACCTCAGATTGGAAGGGTAGCTGTGTGACCCTAGGCAAGTTGCTTAACCCTGCTTGCCTCAGTTTCCTCATCTGTAAAATGAGCTGGGGAAGGAAATGACAAACCACTCCAGTATCTTTGCCAAGAAAACCCCAAATGGAGTCATGGAGAGTCAGACATGACTGAAATGACTGAAGAACAACATACATAAAGCATATATACTGAAAAAAAATTATAGCTAAATCACAATTAATGTGAATAATAAATTCCCTGAAGAGATCACATATATTCAAATTCCCACACTTGAAGTTATAATTACATAAAATATGGTAATCAATTATAGCACAGTGAAAATATGCGATGTGAATTCAAATATAGCTACTATTACAGGTCAATTAATTAACCGATTAACATTTATTATATGCCTACTGTGTGGCAGGTACTGTGGGGGAAGTCTCTGACTTCAAGAAACTTACAATCAGGGCAGCTAGGTGGCGCAGTGGATAGAGCACCGGCCCTGAAGTCAGGAGGACCTGAGTTGAAATCCGGCCTCAGACCAAACACTTGACACTTACTAGCTGTGTGACCCTGGGCAAGTCACTTAACCCCAATTGTCTAAAAAAAAAAGAAGCTTACAATCTCATTTACACTAGTACATACCTAGCTATATTCAGAATCATTAAAGATAGATAGATGATAGATAGATAGATAGATAGATAGATAGAAAGATCATGTGAGTTATCTACAATTCTTTCAATTCAAATAAAGATGTATTTTTGTTAATGATGTCTTTTGCTTTCTTTGTCAATCGGTCAGCTATCTTAGCCCTACCCTAGATGATATTCAGATTATGGATTTTTTTCTTAAAAGGCAGCTCCTACAACTGCACTGAATACTACCAGTATGGGCTGACCATTGAAGAGTACAGTAGGTTTATCATCTCCACAGAGCTTAACATTTTGACTCTGTTAACATGGATTAAGGTCACTCTTTTTTTTTTTTGAGGGGATGCTAAATCACATATTGCCTTCTCGAACTCATAGTCCACTAAAATACTAAATATGTTCAGCTGAACTGCTCTGATCCATTTTTTTTCACTTTGTACTTATGAGATTGATTTCATTTTCAAACCCACGTATAAGACAAATTTATTCAACTTGACATAAACAGAAGAGATATATCCTGTATTTTTAGGGCATGCATTTGGGACTTGATAGAGAGCTTTGCACATTTTGTGAATCTCATAATCCCTACCCAATTGACTGTGAGGTGTGTGGGTAAGAAATGGTACCTCCAGGAGTAACCTAGAAAGTATTTCTTGGGGTCATGAAGATGTTAAAGGCACAGGTGCTGATTCCATTTGTACTGTTGAATAAAAGTATGGGATACAGAAAAGAAAGCTCTGCATAATAAATGAATATCTGCTTAAGAAAATGGTGACAACCCTAGAATTTTAAGACCTGAATCAAGTCATATAATACAGAAATAGCTACATCTTGTCCAAGGATAGAGTGAATCTAAAGCGGACCCAGAGCACAAACCAGGAGAGCAGTGACCACAACTCTTCCAGGATAACACCACCTTGGAACACTGGAAATTTGAAAAACCCCAGAACTAGCTCTAAAAAGAGCATCATACAAAAGCCTGAAACTTAGCACAGTACCTCCCCACCTGAAAGTAAACAGAGCCCAACTTTAACATGAAGTTTAAAGTAAAAAAAAAATAGATTAGGAAAATGAGCAAATAACAGCAACAACAAAAAAATGATTTGACATAAAACATTATTATAGTGGCAGAAAAGACTAAGATGTAAACTTAGAAGAAGACAATAATGTGAAAACAGCTACAAGAATGCTAATTGTGCCCAAAGCCAGCAAGAATTCCTGGAAGAGCAAAAGGAAGAGATAAGAATGGTAGAAGAAAAGTTGGGAAACGAAGTGAGAGTGATGCAAGAAAATTCTGAAAAGAGGCATGACAAATACTGAAAAAATATAATACCTTAAGAAACATAATTGGCCTAAGGGCAAAAGAAGCACGAAAATGAACTGAAGAATAGAGCTTCTTAAAAAGCAGAAATTGGCTAAATGGAAAAAGAGGTACAAAATCTCATTGAAGAAAATAATTCTTTAAAAATTAAAATTGGGAAAGTAGAAGCTAATGATAGCATGAGACTTCAGGAAATAATAAAAGAAAGTCAAGAGAATGAAAAAAAAAGATGTTAAACATCTCATTGAAAAAAATAAAAACAACTGACCTAAAAATAGATCAAGGAGAGAGAGTTTAAGAATTATTGAACTACCTTAAAGCCATGATAAAAAAGAACCTAGACAACATATTTCAAGAAATTAACAAAGAAAACTATCCCTATAGATTTAGAGGGTAAAATAGATGTAAAAATAATATACCAATCACTTCCTGAAAGTGATCTTGAAATGAAAACTCCCAGGAATATTGCAGTCGAATTCCAGAACTCCCAGGTCAAGGAGAAAATGTTGCAAAAAGCCAGAAAGCAACAATTTGAATATTGTGGAGTCAAGATCATATAATATTTAGTAACTTCCATGTTGCAGGGTTGAGAGCTTGTAATATAATTTTCTGGAAGGCAAAGGAGTTAGGACTACAACTAAGAATTATCTACTCAGTGAAAAGGAGTATCATCCTTCACAGGAGAAAATGGATATTTAATGAAATACAGCACTTCTGAGAATTTATGATGAAAAGACCAGAGCTGAATGGAAAACAGATGACTCAAAAGAAGTAGAAAAAAGGTTAACATGAAAGAGGAATTAGAAGGGACTCAACAAAGTTAAACTCTGTATATTCATATATGACAAGATGCTACATGCAACTCCAAAGAACTTTATCATTAATAGGGTAGTTTCTTCTAAGAAATCTGTATAGACAAAGGTAAGGGTATGAGTCAATTATGTTTGATTAAGATCTAGAAAATGAAAGCATTAGAAAGAGGTATGTGCCAGAAGAAAGGGGAAGGGAGAGACAGAATGGGGAAAGTTTACTCACATAAAAGAGGTACAAGGAAGAGCTTTTATAGTGGATGGAAAAATTGGTAGTGGAGGGACAGTGGACAATGTTTGAGCCTCACTCTCATTACATAATTGGTTCAAAGAGAGAAGAAATATATTATATGTACATACACACACCCTAATCTGGGTATAGAAATCAATCTTCCAATAGGGAAATAAGAGGGGAAGTGAATAATGGTTATAAGAGGAGGAGTGTTATTGTTGAGTTATTTTTCAGTCATTTCCAATTCCTCATGATCCTATTTGGGGTTTTCTTGGCAAGGCTACTGGAGTGGTTTGCCATTTCCTTCTCTAGCTCATTTTACAGATGAGGAAATGAGGCAAACAGGGTTAAATGAGTTTCCTAGGGTCTTAGAGCTAGTAAGGGAATCGGGGAAACTACATTTTGCTAAAAGCTACCATAGACAAAGAAGTGATATCAAAAAGTGTTACAGTAAGTTTCTCTGGTAAAAGTCTCCTTTCTCAAATGTATGAGGATCCAAATCAGATCTATAAAAATAAGTG